GACATCAGGGAGTCAGAGGGAGCTGACCAGAGAGTCCTCTACCCTCAACTAGTCCCCCAGGCACCCCACCTCTCCGGCAAGGAGGTCTCGCAGATCCCCGTTCCTGGTACAGGCTCAGAGCAGGACGGGGAGGCAGGAGCCCCATCCACCACACCGTGGCGTGGGGGGCATGGATCTCATACCACCTACGGATTGCATGGTGTGCAATAAATAAGTGGGTGGATTGAATGTCATAGATTCATACCACTCCTAAACTCTTATCTGTCTGCTCTGGTATCTGTGCCAGCTGCTTCTCCACCTACCCAGAGGCCTTTTGCTTATGGAAACCCACAACACACAACGATATCTTGCTTCTGTAGAGATACACTGCTTACGCCCACCTTTGAAACCAAGTAGGTAACAGATGCTCTGTTTCGGTACCAAGCAGTGACCTGCTCTCTCAGGTGGGGAGCAGTCCCCTTTTGTGTGATTTACTGAGAACTGGAAGTTGAATCAGCAAAGGCAAAGCATACCTTGCTTGTTTTTTTGAGTTGGACAGGATTTACCCGTAGCACTGGAAATGGCAACCACTCACTCCTGCGCTCACCTACCATCTCTGTTTGAGAGCTTGCAGGGTTCCCCAAAATGTGGGCCCAGGTCCAGATACAGACACACTTGGCTGCATGACATTCCTTATCTCCCTTTTTGCTAACATCCCTGTTTCCCACTCCCACGTAAGAAACATTTTTAACAGCCGCTCAGACCTTGTGCAGAACAGCTGCTAGCAACCTGCTTCTCTGATTTTCCCTAAAGAGCGATGACTACATCTCCAGGGCCCCAATTTCCATTGCCTTTTGCTTCTGGTAGGCACTTACTCCGTGCAAAGGGGATGTGGCACACTAGCCTGAGTCCAGAGACGCGGCTTACTGAGCAGAGCTTGGGCACGGACCGGGCTGGTGGAGTTGCCAACACTGTCCTTGGCAGGAGGCTGGAGACTAAAGCTCAAGTACGCTAAGCTGCTTTGCTGCTCTGTGGTCCTGGACCTGCCACCCATTTACCCAGTGTAAAGCTACTTTAGATGGGCTTTTTTGGCAGCTTGTGCAACACTGGGGAGTAACTGCTGTGTTGCCCTGAGAATGTTTTTGTAATTGAGTCCACCTGATCAGCAGAACTTTTACTAAGATACAGACTGAGTAGACTTTAATTGAAAAAGAAAAAAAGGAGGGGAAAAAAAGAAGATAAACTTCTACAAGCAAAGAGACCAAACTTTTGGCACTTACCGCTGAACGCAATGTCATTCTCTGTACTCCAGCAGTGCAGGAGTTGTAGGTGGACTGACTCCTCAGACGTGGGCTCTTGCAAGGCCAGATCCAAACCAAGGAGCCACTAGAAACGAGCCCATTTGCAAGTGTAAAGAGAAAAAGAGCTAGATTTTCTATCTTTGGTGCCACTTGGGTCTGGAAATCTCAGCAGCCCTCCAGAAAAAGCATTTATAGTCAAATCGTACTGAGCCCCGATTTTTTGGTTCAGGGGGCACCAAAAAGCCGCAGCGTCTGTGAGCTGCAGAGCAGGAGCCAAAGCGTCCCAGTGCTTTGCTCTGTAGAAAGGCAGTAAAGGAAGGAGGCACAAGATGCCTGGGATGCATCAAGGCCTATTGCTTACAGCTGTCAGGAAAGAACATTTGTGATTCCCTGATGGGAGAAGCTGACATCTCACAGAGTCAAACACATGGAGTATTTCCAGCAAAGGGCTGGTGTTTCCCCATGTCCCTGGAAAGCAAAATTTCCTGTCATTTCCCATTGAAGTCTCTTGCGTACCCATTGAAGCCTGAATGCGTACCTACGGTGCTGCTGATTTTTATTAGGAAGCCAAAAAGCTGGGGTTTGTTTTCTAAACAAAAAAATCCTCCAGCCCTCCACCATCTCACCTACATGCCACAATCTAATCAATACCTACCTCCATTTGAGCATCCCACCATCTCTCATACACGATGCTGAAAAGCCCTGGTACAATTAATTACTAGACATGGCTATTTTCTACTTAGGAAGCAAAAATTAACAATCTTGGCATTCTCTTTTTAAATAATAAATAGAAAATATTTATTTTACAGCATTTTCAAGATCATTTTGACAAAAAGGCGATCCTCATCAAGCATTTGACAGACCAAAAGAAAGAACTTTTACAGGAAGCTTCATAGTTCATACAACTACATACACGAGGTGAGTTCTTGCTCTTTAGATATATTTACGTATGTGTATGTTTCCGGTTTTAACAACTGCGAACTAAAAGCTAATATACTGAATTTCAAGAAAACTCCTACTCATGATATAATTACATTGCAGTAATAAAATCAGTGCTTAATATGTTCAAAACGGACAGATATGAAAACATAGTACCTTGCCACGTTGCCATCTCCCCATCTCTACAAGTGTGTTATGTGTCTTTTTCTGATCCATCTCATTTCTTCAAAGACCGTCTTCCTAGGACCAGCTCTGTGCTACTGACAACGTATGGTTTTGGAAACAGCACAACAAATCTTATGCTAAGATTATAAGAAGATAGAATTCATCGCCAGCGCGGCCATCAGCAAAGAAAATATGGCATGTTTCTCATTACTTTAATGAGTAATCAACATTAAAAAAAAGAAAAAAACAACAACAAAAAATATCCCCCTAAAAGCCCCAAGCAGACAAAGATCAACCAATGGACCCTCAGGTGTCTTTAGTTCATTAGAGAGACATCAACCTACTGACAAGGACATAACCGTGTCTTTGGGCACAGTCGTTTCATGCTTTCCACATCGGGATGATAACAATTGGCCACCGGTCATGTTGAAAGGAGCAAACGTCGTGAAAAGAGGATGAGGGAAAAAGGCGCTCTCTGGTTTTGAGCACCAGCCAAACCTTCCAATACCACTACTATATAATTAGAGCAAAACAATGAGATTTGGATCTCCAGAGAAGAATTGATGACTGGCAGCAGGACTTCTTAAAATTCAAGAGAAAAGAAAGAAAAAGAGTAGAAATATGCGGAATTCAGAAAAACCCTGATAGAATATTCACAAGAAGCACAAGAAGTTAAAATCAGGTTTTGCAACCATATTAACATGAGATTTCTTAAAAATATCTTTGGAAATAAAGTGTAGAACTGTGGGACGGCTCCTCAGCTAAATTCAACAGCACAATCAAAGTTCATAACAGCTAAAATCCTGTCCTGTATAATACGCGCATTTATAAATAGGGTAATAATAAGTACAATTAAGTTCAAGCCACAGCAATTAGACCTGGACTTTGAACATGCCAGCCAGTAGTCAGCTTTGGATTAGGCCCATCTCTAGGAAACACACGAAGGAGGAGGAATGAATGACAGAACTACAGCTGCCTAGAAGGGACCTTTAAGATACAATATTGTATATCAAATAGAAGAAGTGAAAGTGTATGGAAAGAACATGCAACTAAACATCATAAGGAGGTTAAAAGAACTGTCTATAACAAAACCTGAGAATTTATGCACACATTAAGCACTGATGAAATTTCCTGTCCGGACACGATTTTATTTTAAATTATCTGAAGCAACAAAATAGTTGAATTACTCTTCCTGTCTTGCCTTTATACTGGCATGTGCAAGATTTCTAAAACACACTTTTTTCTTTTTGTGTTTTCTTTTTTTTTTTTTTGTCAACCACACTTGCTGCAAACATGTAAAATAACAAGTTCTCAATGCACTGGTTATTAATACCATATGTCTACTTCATAAAATATCTGAAAAACAAAGCACCCTATTGTAAGGGTAACAACTGTCTCAGCTTGTATATGAAAAAAAAGGTGTTAGCACAGCATACAAACCTCCAAGATCTATCGAATATTTGTAACAATGAGATATAAAACATGATTTAAACATAAAAATATTCATAGTATATAAGACAATCTTCCAGTGGTAGTTATTGGACATTACGCTTCACACATACCGTACACACGCATACAGAAACACAAACGTACGCTCACGCTCTTGCTTCGAGACTGACTCTGTAACCCCCAGGATGGAATTGCCTTTCTTTCAGAGTAATAGTTGTTGCTCTAAGTATACAGCTATTTTCCAATGTATTTGATTCCAAAGTAACACAAAGGAATGATGTAATCACACGGCAAGTATGTTGTAGTATGAAAAGTTAGTCAATAAATATTGTTCTGCTACAGGAAATGTTGTGTAACAGTTTAGCCACGTGGTTTGCAATCTTATACAAAAGGGCAGTTTTTCTCAGTCCTTATCATGTTACAAGTACTACAGCGAGGGCTTTCTTCAGAAACCTCTCGAGTCTTAACTCAATCAGATTTCTCGCTCTGTTCACAATCCACGTTAAAAAAAGCCCAGATCCCCCAAAAAGCAGCCTCGTATGAAGAACAAATTGTTCAGACAAAAGTCAGTAAGAGCCGTGTGCTTTCACATCTCCTCAGCTCCTCTCCCCCCAACACATTACGCAGTTATACCACCTATAGAAACCAGGAGAAAAATAGTTATGCATCTACGTCTCATATACAAGTAGGTTCTCTCCTCCTCACCACGCTCTGCCCTTCCAGCTCCTGGGTGCGTTGCTCCCACCGCAGCCGTCAGCTGGGCTAACGCCTTCTCCAGGTCCCGCGTCCCAGGGTCCTTTTCAAGCATTGCCAAGAGAGGGTGTGACTAAGTGTGATTATTTTTGTTTTTCCTGTGTGTTTATTCTTTTTTTTTTTTTTTTGCTATAGAAGTTGTCTCTTGGGTTTGTGCTTTGTTATGGTTTCCTATCATTTATCTCAAAGTACAACAGTTTTATTTTTAACAGCTAGAGAATTTTGAGCCCTCAGAATGGATTTTTTTTTTCTTTTTGTTTCCTTTTATTTATTCAAGTGCAGGATGAAGTTTTTGCCCTGTCGTATGTGACTTTGTTCTCTGCTCTCTCTCCCCGCAGCCCTGGAAGATTTGTCTCCCCAGGACCTCCCAGTACGCAGCTGCCAAAGTCCTTCTCGTCTCATCTTTTGCAGCATCTACAGGGTGGACGAGCTTTGCTTATAATCCCTCAGGATGACAGAGGCGTAGGTCACATCTGGAGGCGTGCAGAGAACCGACTCCGAGACGGGAGAGCTGGGCACGGAGCTGCCCGAAGCCACCGAATCCCGGAAAGGGGACGGAGGCGTCAGTGCCGGAGAGTCTTCCAGAGTCAGTTTGCTGGTCGTCGGCTCTTCGTCCTCCTCCTCCTCTGGGTTCTTCTCGTAGACGTATCCCTGAATGAGCTTCAGCTTCTCGCTCTCCGCTTCCTCGGCCGGGGGAGACAGGGGCTCCTCGCTGAAGGCGACCACCTGGAAAGGCGGCAGGGGGGGGCGCTCGCG